ACCTGGTAGTCAGAGCTACGACGCTACTCGGTACTGAGCTACCTTCTCTAATTTTCGATAGAGTCGCGACGTATATAAAATGTACATAGACGAGTCCGGATTCCGCGTTCAGCCCTTTGGATCGGAATCCAGGGTCTGATCGTGGCCGGTCGCACTTACTTAATGTTATGTATCGTCTGGTTAGAGTATACGAATGCGCTTGTGTATGCGTCCTCGTCGTCGTTCTCGTCGTCGTCATCGTCGTCTATAGATATATCACGACTACCACCGTTCCAAGGGAGAAGGAAGGAAACGATATTCGAATCTATCACGCCAGAACGGAGGATAGCGAAAGAGTAACGACTATGGAAAGTGAAAAGTGTGCTAGCTTCCCTCATCTCCCTTAGCCTCGGTTATTTATACTCGTTCACTGTCCGTTCGTGCTTGTGTGAATAATATTCCACGATATCCCGCGTTTCGAGTTCATCGATCGACATTCTCGTCGATTCCATTAAGCCGGGGAAGCTTGCTCGCTTTGAAACAAATGGTACATTAGTGTCTAGATATATGGCCACGAATTTGTCCATTTATGCGATCACAAATTGTTCCCATCTTCCTGGTATTATAATGATTTAATTACTATTGGATTACTGAAATATAAAGAAAAATATAATTTCTTTTTTTTATATTTTATCATATAATATTGTTTTAATTTAAGATTATTAAAATTTTTACACGATTGTATTTAAATTGATTTTAAGTTAAATGATTTTCTTGGTCTACCTGTTTTATCTGGATTTTCTTGTTTTTCTCCTTTTTATTCTTATTGGTGCATGCGATAACAGCGCGAATCAAATAATAGCGATCAATTCGTGGAAATGGATGTTACCGTATCTCCGTGCTCGGTTTCGTTGAAAAATACGAATTCTCCCCGGAACGGGTGTTGTTCGTTCGGTGCATGTATATAGTGTATACTCGAGGCATGCATGGAAACAGATAAGCTGAGTTCAATAATGGAACGCAGAATTCTCCGGTCGAAATTCGAGGCGATCGACTTTCCTTAAAACGAAGATTCAAATTTTCTCAAATAAACGTGTATGCTGGCGTATCTGACGGAAAGGACAATTATTTGGGGAAAATTGGCGTCCCTTTCGTGATACATGGTACTGTGGATCGTACGGTGGAATGTAGCATGCCGACTAGCGGTCGTAGAAAGAATGTGTATCGAGCGCTTTTGTGTATAGCGTTCTAGCGATGTAGGCTTTAGAAGTAATCATCGCGGGTTATGCGCAACGATTTCTTGCACGCGATTCTGATTAACGTCAATTGATATTTTTATATGTATAAGCATACCATATGCATCCTGTGGAACGCTTTTTTGGAAAGATACTACTACGTTCGATCTTAGACCTAGAATTTGTTTCCTTCGATCTTTGGTTCCGCCATCTAACGGGAACCGGAAATATTATTCGTGTTAACATCGATTAACCCGATATTTGCTTGTTCGTTGCTCTAGGATAAGGGTAGAACACATGGAGAGACAGTTGGCCAACCTGACAGGACTAGTGCAGAAAGCTCTCACTCATGCACCGCACACGAGTCCATCGCCGCGTGATTACTTGCAAGTTCCCGCGGGACGTGATCCTTACGCGAGAGGGCCAGGTACGTTATCGCTCGATCGCTGTTTTACCGACCTTTCTCTCCACTGTTCGCTCCAACGTCCGCGCGTAGTATATATTTTTTTTTTTTTTCTCGTTAAGACG